GCATGTAGTTTACATTTGGAGTCATAATATTGCATAGTTTGGAGCGGTGAGGGCGTATTTGGTCTTGCGCGTCCGAGTCGAAAATCTTGATGGGGCAGTTCTTGAGTTGCAAGGAGTCAGTTGCTGATACATTTGCTTCGTTTGCCTATAAGAAAAAGCACTCGCCTGGTTATGACGGAAGAGACTCGGACTTGTGACTGTGTGACGCGGATCATTGACTTCCGCCGCGACCAAAGATGGACCCACTCATTAAATCGAAGCCATCCTACATTTGCGCAAATCCAGACTGCAAATCTTCTATGTCGAAATCCAAATTCAAAATTTGCTCTGTTGTGAGCCTTTGATAATTTTCGTGTAATCACAGCACAGCGTCACGGAACTCTTACAGTGCCGGAACAGCATGTACTGCTCTCGCGAGGTGAGCAAGCAATGTAGAATAGTTACCTCAATCAGCACGGAGTACAAGACATTACATACAGTGCCCAAAGGAAGCTTGGTGCGCAGATTTATTGTGCCGAACCTCCAGCGACCAAATTTACATATACGGGTCCTTGAAGGCCGATCCATAAACTTTGCTGCACGAGTGACGAACGTCGCAGCGCCGCCTCTGTAATGGTCAAGCTCATTAGGAGCGCACTCATGCCGGACCGCGACATGTGCTCGAAAGTTGACATGATCGCAGCCGCCACTCTGCAACTTCACGAATATCCAGAACGAGCAAAAACACATACGGTTGCTCTTCTTGCCCGCATGGAAAATGAAGAGACTGGCGTTCTCAAAGATTTTCTCCGAGAAAAACAGGAAATTTGGCCATCACGTACGATGAATAACATTCCAATGACATTCCAACTGGTCCGAGCTGTGGCGAGGCCGACGGCGGAACTGATGCCAGGCATTCGTGGACTCGTCGAGGAATGTTTTGACTTTGTAAAAGGCTGCACCAAGCATGGTGTTCTATCAAGCGACCACAATTAGCCGTTCCGCGTAATATGGGCATTGAATTCGCCCTCTGGTGACTTGGACTCTGACAACATAATAAGCTGCGGACTCTTTCTTGGAAAACAGCTGGAATTCCTCAGGCATTACTTTACTCTGTATGGTGCGGAAGGATGTGCGTACACTATGATCAGGTGGCGATGTTTCAGGTTACCGTGAATTTCTTCACGATGTTCATGCAGATTGTTTTTAGAAATTTCAACATGAACATAATCAAAAATCCGGAGCTGATGAGAAAGATGACGGCGGTTCGTCTTTCGGCAAATCCCTACCCACCACACCGATTGACTTCCCTTGCTGTTCCGCAGCTCACGGAAAGGGACAAAGGTAAATGACGGAGTTGATTGGTCTGTCGCGCCCGGGTCGGCCATCGTGACGGGCAGCTCTCAACCTGAATATCTCCGTACATTCTCCACTTACGTCGCCATCCAAATCCACCAAACACCAAGTCGTCGCCTGATGGTGACATTTGGCGAAGTGTAAGGATGCTTTATTTGTCCTGCATTTGCCCCAACCATTCAGGCGGATATTTTGTTCTGCTTCCTTCGAATCTATGTATGGACGACACGAACATCCTCTTTCCGACGGTACAGGAGGGCTACCTAAAATATCCATTTCCTGGCCAACGTGGTTCTTGGACCTTCCGTAAATATTCCGTGCCAATGCACACGGCCCGTTGGAGCACATCGCCCGCGAAAACACCAAGAACACCCATGACTGCTGCCATGAACGCCGGCGGCCGTGTGCGAATATAAACAGTGCGACGTTCTCCCCATCGTGAGTTCGAACCTATTTATTGCGCAACCGAGCTCTCCGGAATGGCGTTCCACGGGCAAGCATTCAGTGCTCATCTATGGTGACGGATTCTATAGAACGCAACGGCGGCCACCGGTAAGCAAATGCAACGAGCAATGAGTGAAGGAGCACGCTGAAAGACACGCTGAAAAATTGCAGTGTCGTCAAGGGCCGGTCGCACTGCGTGTGGAAATCCGTGTTAAGTATTACACTGTGCTGCGCTATGAATGCCATTTCTCTGCCACTCGGACATATTGTTGCGGCTGCAATCTGTCAGTTCAGAATTCCAATGTTTGAAGAGCGATTTAAGGTGCCGCTGATCCACCTGCTCCGGAATGACGAGGAAGTGAGCAAGATCGCGAGCTCACTGACAGAGTGTCCTTCCAACCGCAAGGTTTTTAAAAGTGCAAATTAAGCATGACCAAATAACAAAGGCTAAGATTTTGCGTGATCGACGAAAGGGTCAGAACGAAGCGATTGGGAACGGAGCCGAAAACACATTATCGTGCCATCGGCGAACGTTCACATCTCGTTGGAATCGGGTATACAGTTCGGTCTGGCAGTAACAAAAGCGCATTCAAAAATTCCAAAACATGTAAAGGTATATGGGTATACGTGCAGAGAGCTCCGTCCGAGTCTATAGTACCAGAATTATCAGTGCGGTCGATATCGCCCAAAGTGCCGGGGAATGTCTGATCGCTGCATTGACAACTACGGGGTTTCCGAGTCCTGGTTGCCCGTTCGCTTGGCTTGCTCCGATGTACTGCTCGCCGAGCGCATTAATTTTCCCATCCGAGGTCATCATGCCGTTTGCCTGGGCCATTATTAGAGTATAGTTGTATGGTACTATCGGACACGCACGGGATTAACGCCATTCAAATTTTCCATGACGCCGTACCACGCGTATCGCTCCACCCATTCGGTCGCGTCCATGAACGATTGCGTCTGGTTGAGGAATGCGTTGACATCCGTTTGAGTGCATTGAGGGCCGTTGTTGTAGTTCTGGAGGGGGATCAGTGGTGGAAGTATGCTGGTGAGTTGTATTTACCTGACAGTCCCACTCTGTGACCCAGATCGGTAATTGGAACGTGTTGTGAAAGTCTTCGAGGTATGCCTGGAATGCTGTAGCATTCACGTCGTACCAGTCTGGTGGCCGTTGAGTAGAGGTAACGGCAGCGAAGAAGGGACTCACGAATGGCTACAAAGTCTGGATGGCATCCGCCAGCGCAGGCGGTCAGCCAATCCTGTATCCAAGTCTTTCCGCTCGGGGCGCTTGACGGTGCTGGTGTGCCTAGCCGCAAGCCTTGCGCTTTGAAAGGCTCGATGTATGCTTTCCACAGGTCGGCGCCTTGTTGCGGTGTTAAATTGGATTGCCCGGATTGTTGCGGTCTGGCGGGTGATTGGCATTGGTGCTGAGATCATTACTGCACGCACTCACTCGTTCATGCCGAGAATGGCAGTTACGTTGAGGCTTGCGATGGTCTGATTGATGGTTGACGTGAATTCGTTGACGCGAGCTTGGTCGGCACCCCAAAGCATCGGGACAAATTCGAGATCAGAGTCGATGGGGTATGAGCTCCAGGTGTAGTACCTGCAGGTTGTTAGGTGCGCCGGTGTTTGATGTACTCGACTCACCACGAGACCTTGCCTGTGGTCGTGAACTGTTTCCAATCGACATTGTTGCCGTTTGGCCAGGCGAGACCGGCCTTTAAGTTGGAGGTGGAGTTTGCGACACGCAAAGGGGTAGCCGTCGCCAGTGTGAACAGCAACGAGCAAAAAAGAAACGCCATGCCATGTTGTCGCCAGACGGGTGTTTATGAGGGCTCCTCGATGTTGACGTCATTGCGAGATGGGCGCGAATGTAAATCTTGAGGACCGCGTTGGTTGCACAGACATGTGGATACGTCATCGTGGTTCGAGAAGCGAGAAGCGAGGAAGTGAGGAAGCGGAAGCAACTCCTGCGGTAAATAAAAGCACGCGACGTCGCTCCGCGCAAAAGTGATTTCTACCCGGATTGCCTTGTGGACTTCCCGTAAGGAAAGATTTCCTTTTCTGGAATCACACGCTCTGCCGCTGAGCACGTAATTTCAAAATTTATTTGTTAAAATTAATACTGAGGCGCGCTGCCTTCATTTTCCTGTGAGGTTTTCAGTCTAATTTTTAAATGACCGTCAAGTATGCACTGGGGATTAATGACATCCCGGAAATCGATCAAGATCAGCGCCAAGGTTAACAAGTTCAGTCCGCAGTTACGATGTCCCTTATTCAGACGAAAGCACCGTCGATATCGTTTCGCTGACCGCCAATAAAATCAAGGAACGTTTAGGCTTTAACGTGTACGCTCACCGACGACCTTTAACCTCCTCCACGTCGTCAGAATTCCGGAAGACCAACGTTTGTTGCAGCGCGTGGAGAAGCCGCGGGATGTCTTCACGGTTGTATACGCCAGTACGACGCGGGAACAACGCCAACTCTTGCATGGCTTACACAACCAAGATCGAGTTGATGACCAGTGGAGATGAAGAGAACGAGAGAGATTAGTTTGTGAGCCTAATATATTGCGCGTATGCACTCACCGCACTGGCTAGCGAATGAACGCCGTATAAACCAACGGAAGATCCCCGCACCAATCGCGGGTATCGTCTCGAAATTGAAGCGATGCGGAGGCGACGCGGGACGAGATGGAGAGGCGCAACGCGGCACCCGAACACTTGGCCAACAAACCGTACACAAACAATATAATAGAAACCTTGCCGTAGTAGACGTCGGCGTTCAACGTTGCTCGAACTCGGAGACTCGGTGTGACATGCGAAAAGGGCTGGGGAACGAGCAGAAATTGCAGTAGTCCGCTTTTGAGTTGAATGACATTCAGTTCGTTGATTCGACGCGGGTTACGGTGTCTGATTGATGTCAACCGAGCTTGGTCAGTATCGGTACTCAGGTCAGAATATGAGTTCCAGGTGCAGGGCCACCCTGCCTGTCGTTGTAAACCGGATTGTTGTCGCACGACGAGATGAAAAATAAGCGCCGTACCACATGCAAAAGAAATGGACAGAAAAACACGAGCCCGGTCTTGGCGGCCGGGCCCAAATCTTCGTTCGAAGGTAAGAATGGAGGAAGTGAGGAAGCCGGATATGCGTGAGGGGTGCTTGCACCCCTCACGCAAAGAAAAACCACGCGACGTCGTTCCTCGTCGCTCCGCGCAAAAGTGATTTCTACCCGGATTGAACGGATGACCTTGTGGATGTCCCGTGAGGAATAATTTCCTTTTCTGGAATCACACGCTCTGCCACTGAGCTAAGAAATCCGCAGAATACACATTCTGAACGTTCTAGATGATGTTGGGAACTCGGAGAGTTGAAGAGAAACGAGAAAAACCGAAAAAACCGGAAAGTGGCGGAGTAATCCGATGTGACACACGTACAAACACACCTAAACACGCGAGTAGACAATAGAAATGCTCTTTGAATGTTCCGTCTTGGTGTGGAAGCCGGGAGACTGCTTGGGAGATGTTAACGAAGGAGGAGAGGAGGGTTGGAGTGGAATGTGGCGGTGGCGGCGAAACACTACATCAAGCCGCGTTATTGGCTCAAAATATACTTGAATACACTTACTATGAATGCCCCCTCCATCGTATAACACTTTGAGCAAGTCCCCCGAGCATTGTGCAAAGAAATGAGACGGCGAGAATGAGTCAGTCCACGCCACAACGCCGCTTTGGGAAGACGTGACATGCGTGACATCGTGATGTGCATACTGCTCCACCGTACACCGTCAACAAACCTTAGGTGTGATTTGACCTCGGAAAACAATCAGTATACGCTTCCTGTGACTCCCGACGTTGTCCGTTTTCCTTAGCATTAGGGCACCCTCGAGATATTGACTCAAATCCCAAATTGGAAAGGTCACGTGACATATTCCGTACTACGCGAATTTCAAAGTCTTGTCACCACCACACTCTCACCATCAACGCGTCAACATCAACGCATCCTCAACGCCCACCGTGAAATCTGCTTCGCCCCGTGTGCAAGTCAGTGGTCCCAACCAGAACAGGAGTCTCGTTTGCTCGGTTCTCGCGGGTGTGAACGCGTTCGTCGGGATTCATGGATCATTCAGCATACCCAGTCCGTCGCTTCAGTCTTTGGTTCACTGCGAGTCAAGAACCGTCGTACATTCGCAGTCGAAAACGCTCAAAAACTGGCCCAAATTACACGGTAAGTAGACACATCTTTCGCATTGATTTGCGCTAATTGTTTGGGTCGATTAGATTTTGCAAAGCCATCGGGCTCCATGCAACAACGACCGCGCTTCAAACAGTGAACGGTACGTCGCTGTGTATATAATTTAGTCTATCTCTGATGATTTTCTTACTTTTAGAATTATCGGAAGGCTTCCTCCATGACCACCAACCATCCGACTTCCCACACTCGACGTCTTCTCAACATCAACACCCGTCAGTCAAGTCTCGCGTATGAAGAAACGACGTTCAAGCCCAGGAGACACGGTGTAAGCAGGAGAGGTGCTTGAGATCAATCCTTGTCGAGAGCATTCTCTTCTTCGAGACGCTCGGCTCGATTGGGTTGAGTTGTTTCGAAATCCAATAATGTCCGCATGTTCGGGGTAAGCCTAATTATCTTTTCCATCGATGTGCGTTGATTACTTCTGTTCATCAGATTTCACAAATTCATACGCGTCGCAATACTATCCCCCACTCACTTAGAGTCAGTGGCGGATGAACGCGTATCCGACTCACTCAGAGTCAGTCGGGTACACGCATGGCAACCACACACTTAGAGTCTGTGGTTGGCCAGAGCACCTTGTCCGACGCGCCACCAATGCCAGTTTCCCATCCACGTCCGAGGCTTCGGCGATGACACTAGCCATCTACCAGGGAGTGTCACCTTCGACCATCCGACCAACCTAGCAACGGACTCGTCGTCACGAGGATTTCAAGCGATGAATGCATTTCCGGTGGATGGCACCCGTTCACGTTCGAACTCGCGGGGTCAGCTTGGTCAAGTCTTCGCCTTCTAACTGTACCTATGTAGATCTTCAGAATACCACCATCTTCCATCCCACCTTCTCTCGGTTTTGATGACCGGCGTGCCGGTGCGTTCGATTTCGACTGGTTCCAGACCCAACAAATTCGAGGAAATTCGATTGTCAAAATGAGAGCTCAGGGTCCAAGCACCCTTTCACGCGTCAGTCCTTCGCTGTCAGCTATCCCCAACGTCTTGTCCACTCTCCACCACTGTCCTTTCAAACAACATGCACTCTCCTTCAAGCTCGACCACTCTTTTTACGAATACGGTGCGTTATCGCATCATTTTTGACGCTCTATTCACTGGCAGTTTCACAGCATAACTCCGACCGCAACCATTCTTTCACGACTACAACGAACGCGCATGAAGACACCAACATGGATCTTGACGACAAAGTACGCGCTCCATTTGCTCAACAGTCACTCGCAGCTGAAAATCTATGCGTTTTCTACGCGTTTTGTAGCCGAATGCTCAGGCTGGCCAAAGTCGCGTAACGAAGAAATGGAAGAATGTCATAGAATCCTCAGACGAGGTGAGTTTCGACATTGTGTGACGTGACCTACTCTGAATATCCGAGCAGGAAGACAACCAGGAATCTCTTCACGAAGCTGTACGCCTTCCCGTCCCGTTCATAGCGCATATACCCACTCTTTCTAGGCTGAACAAAATCCAAGAATCTCAACGAATGCATGCAAGAATAAAGTAAGGACAAGTAATGCACCGAAGCCCAAGGCGCCGAAGCCTCAACAACGTTCCTTGAATGATTTTTTTGGGAAAACAGTGAGTCGCGCCTACTCGTCGTCAATGGGACCAAACTTACGCATGAGCAGTCGCAACCAGTTGCCGGATCAATCAAGAACCCAAATAATTCGACGAAGCAAATTACAAAGAAACTTAAGCATTCAACCGTACGTACAGTTTCTATCCCGTTCATGTCCCTTTGACGACGTGTCTTCGTTTAAGAACTCGAATACTCATAATGATAACATCATCGAAAAAATAGCCGGACCCAGCAAACCGAAGAAACTGACGAATGTAACAAATCCGACCGAAATCACCACGAAGCTCGCATCGGTACGTGCACTTTCGATAGCATACAGTCACGTCCGTATACTAAACGTCGGTCGGTTAAGAATTCTAATAACTTTAATGATATCATTGAACTTGTTAGTGTAAAATACGTTTATTGCGTTCAAGGATTAATCACCGTGCAGAATACTTCAGAAGACGAACCTACAACACCAGAGACAAATTGCGCAATTGAGCTTGTGAGGTTTGAATTTGTCTTCCTATCGCAATCACTCACCGTATTGCAGAGCGACGACGACTCGGAAGACAATATACCACCACCGAAAGAGACAAAGGCTGCTAAGGTAGGCGTCATTCCTACTTCACGGTTCATTACTCATCGTTTGAACAGGCTAATAATTCCACTACTAATGATGTCGGTAAAGGGAAGAGGAAAGGGCCTGCGCCAGTGAGTATCATTACCACGGATACCAGCAGCCGCTCACCTTTTTTTAGTACACAGCGGAGGAAAGGGACGAGGCAAGAAAAGAAAAGAACGCAATGCGAAGAGAAAGGCGAGCGGGAAAGCCAATCGAAGGCAGGACACTCACGGATGAAGAAAATACGGTGCTGGCAACCGTTCATGCGGAAATCTTCAACATCAAAGCCACCAATCACCTCGAGCTTCGTACACTTGCCACCCACTCTCCATATCCGCAAATTATCCTTCGCGCTCGAGAGCACGACTCTCTTGAAACGATTCATCCCACCAATCCCCTCTGGGCACGTCTCGCTAGAGTTGAACCGCTTCTGCGCGATTTCACCACGCACCCGCTCTCCTTCGACATCAAGAAACTCGTGGCAACTGGTATGCTCTCTCCGAAGCAAGTTAATGAAAATAATTGCCAAGCACTTTACTACGTTCGCATAATGACTTTCGACAACGTTTACGCGTTCCGCACCGCCGTCATTCAATACCTCATTGATTTCCCAGCCGACCTGCCCCATGCAATTTTTCTACTTGCACTTGCTGGTACTTCACCGGATGAAATGGAAGATGCCGTCGCTCAGGCTTACGGCGAACGTCACAAAGGGGCCACGGACACTTTATTTGACCACCTCTCTTCCCTTGCAGAGCTCGACCTCGGTCTCCCCGCCAACAAACCCGTTCACTTGCCATATATTGGCTATAGTATCGCTGGCACTCACACATCCCGCGCCGAGGATGACGCGTTGAATCCAGAACACAGTCGTGTCTTGAATTTCACGAAAGCGACGGGATACGAGTTCACTGTGTACCGCATTCCCCTTCTTGACTACGTCGTTTCAGGTCCATTGGAGGTGCGAACAAACCCGACCATTTCCGAGACCGAATCTGCCACCATAGTATGCCTGCTTGACGCCGCGCTCAACTCGGCGCGGGCGCCATGGAACCCTGTCTTCATACCTCCAGCCCATCATCGCGAGGTAGTCAAGAGAGCATTAGAGATGGCACCGAAATTTAACCTCGGTGATACAATCGACAATGAGCTCACGGGCACGATACGGAACCGTTATAAGGATGAGGCGCAAGTGCGTCCATTACAAAGCCCGTGGCAGACACAATTTCTGCAGAGTCGCTTGAGCATGCCATGAGGAACGCGGCCGATTCAATCAGAAAAGTCGACGGCGAGGTTCCCCTCGCTACAATACAGAAAGACGTCACGCGCGAAGACTTTGACGGCACTGTGGATGGAATGTTTGGGGCTACGATTGGTCATGGTCTGCGTATGCGACGCCACATCCGCTCCCTCACTCAACCAACAACTCCTCGTCATGGCAGCCTGTCTAGCGACGAGGTGGCACAATATTTTGGGCCACACATCGATCTATGGCGGGTCACTCGCATCCACAAACATCTCAACTGGGATGTATTATTCCTGAGTCGGATTCTACGGGAGATCAAACCGCTTGTCTTGGTTTCGGCCTCTGGCATAGTGACGCATCTGGTTCGGGAGTTTCGGCTACTGACCATTTGGGATGATGTCAAGGATCCCACCGAATTCTTGGCTGGCAAATCCCCATCCAACCTCAACAGACTGCTCCCCTGCCCGCCATCCGACAAGAAACCAGCAGAGTTCAGCGGGGAGGATTTTTTGGCGGAGCTATTGAAGTTCCCAATTGTCCGCTATGGGCCAGGTCCCACCGACTATGCGATCAATGTGGCTATTCGTGATGATGGCTCCATTAAATACGAGCCCAGAGAGTACGCCGATCG